GAGGCAGGAGTGACTGTATACCAAGTTCTCGAAGTGTGAGTTTTGGTTACGAGAGGTCCAGTTCCTGGGATATCTTGCTAATCAGGATGGTATTTTGGTCGATCCGACCAAGATCGAGGTTGTGATGCAGTAGGAGGCTCTAAAATCTCCTTCAGAGATCAAGAGTTTCTTGGGTTTGGAGGGATACTATCGGAGGTTTATTCAGGACTTCTCCAAGATTGTAGTATCCCCCAGTCGTCTGACGAGGAAAGGAGTGGATTTCTGATGGGGCCCTAAGCAACAAATGACCTTCGAGACTCTACGACAGAGGTTATACAAGGCCTTGGTATTGAACCTTCTAAAGGGATTCGAGGATTTTATGGTATTCTGTGATGTATCCATCACCGGTCTAGGGGAGGTCCATATGTAGAGAGAATGAATGATTTCTTATGCTTCATGGCAGCTGAAGCCGCATGAGGCGTGATATCCTACTCATGATCTGGAGTTGAGGGAAGTAGTGTTTTCCCTTAACATTTGGAAACATTATCTACATGGGGTCCATTGTATTGTTTACATGGCTCAAAAGAGTTTGCGATATATTATGGACTAGCTAAACATGAATATGAGGCAACCCAGGTGGCTGGACATGATCAAGGATTATAACTGCGAGATCCTTTACCATCCGGGTAAAGAGAATGTAGTAGCGAATGCTTTGAGCTGCAAGTCGGCTGGGTATTAAGTTGGAGAAATATGTATGAGGATATCCGTTGATTCTCCACTGTTGGTTTTGATCAGAGAGGCACATGCAAAGGGATTTAGGAAAGGAGAATTGGAAATAGGAAAGGATCAGGGAAAAGATCGACAGGTTTGTCACTGATAGTCGAGGGTTGGTAACCCGATGTGGTCGGGTATAGGTTCCAGTTTCTAGTAGGATCAGGAAGATAGTGTTGGAGGAGGCTTATAAGTCTCATTTTTCTAGACCCAGGAAGCCACCAAGATGTATTGACATCTGAGATTGAGTTACTGGTTGCCGTGTATGAAGAGGGAGATAGACTGGTATGTCGAGCGGTGCTTGACCTGTAGGATGGTTAAGCCCGAACATCAGAGGCCGCATGGCAAGCTGCATTCTTTGGTGGTTCCCATGTGGAAGTGGTAACAGATCACCACGAATTTTATCGCCCAAGTTGCCGAAGACTTCCAAGGGTTTCGATGCTATATGGGTCATCGTGAATCCATTGACCAAGAGTGCCCACTTTTTGGCCATCTGGGAGATCTCTTCAGTCGAAAAGTTGGCCGATGTGTATATCCTAGAGATTGTTACTTTCCATGGGGTTCCTGTCTCCATTGTTTCAGATGGAGATGTTAGGTTCACTTTCTATTTCTGATAGGAGTTCCACTAGGAAGTGGGAACAAGGTTACATTTTCGCACTGTATATCACCCACAGACTGACAGTCAGAGTGAACGGACCACCTAGAGACTCAAGGATATGTTGTGGGCTTGTGTCATAGATTTTGGTGGGAATTAGGATTCCTACCTACCTCTTACGGAGTTTTCTTACAACAAAAGCTATCACTCGAGCTTGGTGCTCCACCTTTTGAGCTCTTTTATGGTCAGAGATCTTGTACCTCGGTATGTTGGAGAGAGGTTGGTCATAGGGTCATGGGCAGGACCGAAGTAGTCCTTCAGATTATGGAGCTTATTCAGTAGATCAAGCAGACTGCAGGTAGCTCAAATTCGGCAGACGAGTTATGCCGACCGACACTGATCATAGTTGGAATTTCAGGTCGACGATATGGTATTACTAAATATCTCGCTCTAGAAGGGTTTCAGGAAGAGAGGGGAATTGGGTCCCTAATATATTGGACCTTTCTGTGTGATCGCCAAGGTAGGCAGGGTGGCCTACTGGTTGGACTTAACGAGTGAGCTCTGTCAGATCCACAACACTTTCCATATCTCTAAATTGCAGAAGTGTGTGTTGGACGGTGAGGTAGTGGTCCCCTAGGATGATATGCAGGTTAATGAGTGCCTGGATTATATTAAGAGGATGATGGTTATATTGGAGAGAAAAATGAAGGTCCTACAAAACAAGGAGATACCTTTGGTAAAGGTCCATTGGCAACATCCAAGGGGATCTGAGTGGACCTGGGAGTCAGAGGCTGAGGTGTGGGAGCATTATCCTGTGTTATTCGCGACTACCGACTTCGACAACGAAGTCTAGTTCAAGTGGGGGAGAATTATAACATTCCAATTTCAAGGTAATTTTAATTTCAACCCTATGTTTTAATAATGTTGTATTTTAGCCCTTGGAATTGGAAAGGATTGCAAAAATGGCCTATACTGGCAATATAGTAATTATACCCAAGTGTAGTATGTTGAGCGTACATTGTGTATGTGGGGCGTACAAGGGCGCCCCCTAGTACGCTGGGCATACACCTCGTACGTGGGGCGTACGTGAAGAAATGGTAAACCCCAATTTCTAGGGTGTGGTCAATATTTGAACCTCATTATAGACTCATATCTTGTCTCTTATTCAGCCTCCCTCTGTGAGAATGACCCCCAAGCAAACCCTAAGTGAAAGACCACATTTTGGAGCCCTTTTGAGTGTTTAGAAGTGTTCTTGAAGGAGAAGAATGTGGTGAGAAGATCTTAGAGTTTGGGAAGCACCTTGGGTATGAGATTTCATTCTTGATAGCACCCTCCGAAAGGTAAAAAGTTTGCATCTTGATCACTACATCTTGTAGATCTATATATTTCTTCCTTTAAGACACTTTTTAGTCCCAAAATGGTGATTCTTGAGCTTGGTTTGTTCTTGAACCATTAACTCATCCTTTTTGACGTTATGAGGGACCTTGATTCATGAAAACGTAGTCTCGAGGTCTAGCTCCACTCCATGTAAGCTATGAAAGGTCTTAACACATTAAGATGTTGAGGGTTTGCGTTTTAAGCTCTTAATGGCCATGCTGTAACATCCCAAAAACACAGTCTGAAAATTTCGTTTAATTTAATGATAAAACCATAGTCAATAAACCTCATATAGAAATCATAAGCAATGTATCTCAAAATATTATAACAACTGTCAATTATATCAGAGTATAAACATCCCAGGGTGAAAAAAAATGGTGTGTGCACTGTAATCTTCCCGAGCTCCTCTTTTGAAAACTGAGTACCTGAAACCAAAACTGAAACTGTAAGCACGAAGCTTAGTGAGCTCCCCCAAACTACCACATACCATACAATAACATATAAACACATATTGGGCCTTGCCCACTGCATCGGGCCGAAGCCCGGAAACTGCATCGGACCAAAGTTCGGAACTGACTGGGACCTTATCCCCTGCATCGGACCGAAGTCCGGAACTGACTGGGACCTTGTCCCCTGCATCGGACCGAAGTCCGAAACTAACTGCATCGGACCGAAGTTCGGAACTGACTGGGACCTTGTCCCCTGCATCGGACCGAAGTCCGGAACTAACTGCATCGCCAATACTGATTAGCTTAAGACTGAAAATCTTAGTTAGATAGCATCTATTGTATTGTCTATCTTAATTCGCTTAAAGCCTTACTTTCAACTCGGCCTCTAGGTCAGTATATCCGAGTTCTACTTAAATAGTCTCGGTTTTCATATTCTTTATCTTTGATATGTGCGGTCCTCAATCGCCGGACGGCTGCCCTCCATCCCCTTGCTTCACGTGCAAACCGCTTCAAGGCAACGGGCTATCTCCCAACTTTCACTTGACCGAAATCCGGAACTGGCTGGGCATAGAATAGCATAGCAAAAACACATATCAAATAGCATAACACACATGATCATAAACTCATATACTGCATACTACGTCAGGCCGTAGCCCATAACACTTAACACATAAATCCTGTCTGAGCCACGAAGGCATCAAACAAACTAACAACTGCATCGGACCAAAGTCCGGAAACTACTGCTACTAAACGGGCCGGCATTATGGCCTTAGACCCGTTCCTACTGGAAGGAAACTCACCTCACACTGCTGATGTCCCGCAGACACAATCCCACACTGCTGAAGTCCCACAAACTCCACCCCAGCTGCTGGCTGACAGATTCCCGAACTGTCAACATCAAATAACACCCAATTAATAATTGGGTTCTAACACATAACTAAAAATACATGCTTTGGATAATTACTACATTACCCCTAGCATGGCTTACCCAAGCCCAAGGCCCAATCCATAAGCCCAAAGTCAACTAGGGATCAAAGTCCAACATATGGCCCAATTGATCAATCCAGTCCAACATGTATCATTTTAGGGCCCAATATCATACAACCATCTAGGCCCCCTATGGCCCATCTATGGCCCAATTTTCCAAATTGGGCCCAATCCTTCATATGGGCCTTACCCTAAAGCCCAACTAATTACTCTAGTCCATTTGATTATTCTCGGATGGCCCAATACAAAGCCCAAGTGAAATTAGGGTTTCACATCAAATGATAACTAGGGTTAAGTGTTTCTTACTTAACCCACTAGGGACTTAATCCGTTAAGGACTTAATCCATTAAGTCCATTATTGCTTAGATTAATTTCTGCCAATGATTATTATTTAATATTTCACTTATTAGATATTTCTCGTGTGTCCTGATAAATTCCCAAATATTAATATTTTCTCAATTAGCTCATTAAGGACTTAGCCCATTAAGTTCTTTACTCTACTAGATAAATGGCATGGAATAGTTTGGCTTAATTCACAAACCAATCCCAATGGCCCAAAAGTGGGTCCAATAGGTCTAAGGCCCAATACTTATAATTAGGGTTTTCTAAACCCTAATTAGGGTTCCTCATCCAAACGTGGCCCAATAGGCCCAAAACCAATCTCTAAGCCCATTAGGGTTTTCTAGCGGGGCACCATCCACTACCACCTCGGGTAGTGGTGGTCTATGGCGGCGGCTACCACCTTACGGTGGTGGTTTAGTTCATTTTCATTATTCCAAATTCAAATTACATTTTACAAGGCTAAATCTCAATAACCACACACACGCCCACACTAAACTAATCTAAATATACACACACACAGCCACACCATGGTGGCCGGCGGTGGCTCGCAGCGGCAGCCACCACCTCACGGTGGTGGTGGTTATGATCTTGGGCCAACGCAACACCAAAAGCACTTCAATCATCAATCTAAACGCACCCGAAAGCCCACTACCGTCGGAGATGGTAGCTAAAGGCGGCGGAATGGCGGCATAAGGCGGTGGTGATGAGTTTTCTTCATTTTTTCCTGCCCAAGAATATCAATACAATATTAAATCATGAACTAGGCATGCACACACACTAAATCACGCACACAGCCACCCTCCCACGGTGGCTGGTGGTGGCAAAAGAGTAGAAAATGGTGGCAACCACAACCTTGTGGTGGTGGCAGCGGGGGTTTTTGGCTAACTGTTTCGCAAACAACCATCGAATACTGAGAACGACCTGCATACACAATTATACTCATATTCAGCCACCTCTCGGCTGGCTGTCGTCGTCGGAAAAAGGCAAGAACGGTGGCTAAAAGGTCACCGGCGCAGCAGGGACGCGTCTGACACCTCACACACATAAAAGGAACGGAGGAGAGGATATAGAAGGGCGGGAGAGGGTCATACCAGGAGTTCCTCGGTAGTTCGCGGCCCAAGCATGCGAACACATTGCTTCCATCGATCCACGGCGATCCTATGTTGCCTGCAACGTCTCCAGCAGCAGCGTCGCAGCGGCTCTCATCGGGGGGCTAAGATGCTGCGGTGGCCGAACTCAACCAAGCAGGTAACGACGAGCACTTCTTCATCAATGGTGGCTGAAGGAAAATCGCATGGTGATGGCGGCTGGAATAAAGAAATGGTCTCTTAGGTTTAGGGTTAAAGGAAATGACATGGGGAATGGATACGGGTATATCTCGTATCTCAATTCAAACATGTGATAGGATTATTCAACTTCAGCCCCTCCACCCTTATTTGTTTACCTTTTAAACCCTGACTTTCAAAACTCTTTACAATGAAGTCCAAAATTACCATTTAACCCTTGCTTCTCATAATCTATCCATCATAGGTCTCGATAATTTACCACGTGGTCCTTACCTTCATAAATACTTATAAGACTAATCCGAGACTGACAATTTTAATCTCCGACTTCTATAATTCTTCACAATTTAGTCTAGGACTTATATTTATTAATTTATTTAAATAAACAGGGCGTTACACAGTTACTGGGTGGTTATGTCCCTCAACCTTCTATTGACTCATCTCCTTCTCCGTCTCTTTTGTTCTTTGAGGTAACCGCTAAAATTATCCTTACTCCGTTGTTCTTTGTCTTTTTGAGATAAGTAGAATAGTGTTTACTTTGTTGAGATAAAGTATTGAACTATAATTTGTATAAAGAAGAAAAACAGAACCATTGTGTCACCGGCGAGCACATGGTTTCAAAGCGACTATATTGTATTGTAGGTGGGTAGAATATGTAAAAATTCGATTTTAATAACATTATTATTATACACAAATTTCATGACCTATACGAAAGGGATGTTTAAGCTTGTTAGATCATAGATTTTACATAATGTAAAAACATACTCATATTTTGTTTACATATAAATTATATAAAATGGTTACTTCTTTTCCTATTATCGTATTTGTTTTTTATTGTATTTTATTATGTTAAATAGTATTAGCAAGTAGCGACCATATATTTATATATTGTTTGTAAAATATAAAAACTCGTGAACAATTACAAGACATTAGCTAGTATTATTAAGAAATCGATCCGTTAACCAAAATATTTTGACTTTTTTATTTTGTGATCTCTATTAAATTGGACACCCATGAGTTTGAATCCTAGATTCACCACTCGACATGACACATTTTTCTAACCAAATATAACTATGTAATAGTAATGATCCCATTTAAATTCCTTTTTTCTTATACAATAATACATCTAGCAAGTGATAAGAAGGATACAATTAGTTTTAAGTACATTTTTTATATTTATTGCTTATTCAATGGACAATGCACCAATAATACATTATTGGAATAGTTACATACAAGTTTTTCAAATTATTTTTATGTATTTGATTTTTATACAATCATGATATCATTTTGAACTGATATTTTGTATCTTGATGATTCCATATCGATAAGATCACTATTGTTTGTTAAGAAACTTTTATACCACCTTGTAGAAAGTTTTGGTATTCGTGTTAGCGTTTGACGATCCACATAATACAATCCAAACCTCAAACTGTAACCTTGCATCCATTCAAAACTATCCATTAATGACCATAGGAAATATCCGCGTACGTCAGCTCCCCTTCTATCATTCAAAACAAAAAAACAGGCTTATTTTAAGAACATTGCACTTAGAATTTAGACATGAAATGGCTACATTCAAAATATATGAACATACAAAGTCTAAGTACCAAAATATCTATAGAACCCGATTTTGTTTGTTATGTTTGGTGTTTTTATATGTAGAAACTTAAAAACCAAACTGAAATAGCCAAAATGGTATCATGTTATGTATATGTTTAATTGGATTAAGTATGTTAAATATTTAAATCACTACAATTCATTTACGGTTAGTTTTAAAAATTTTAATAATAAAAAATGTTTATGTTGTATTTTATTATTTTTTAAATAAATTACTTTTTTTTGTAAAAGAAAAAAAATTAGCAACATAGTTCAAGAATAAAAAATAAATAAATAAATAAAACTAACAAATAGGAGAAAGAAACAGGGTTTCGATTTTTCAAAATCAAAAACTGAAATTTTTGGTTTGATTTGGGTTATATCCAAAAATTGTACCGAATAATGTTGACCCATATATAACCTTGTAAAAATAAGCCTAGACGTTGAACTAGACGCTAGTCCCCAATTGACCACCCAACTAGCTAAGACCTATAAACTTTTAAGATATTTGTATAAAATACAAGAATAATAACTTATACCCAAGTCTCCTTATATATATATATATATATATATATATATATATATATATATATATATATATATATATATATATATATATATATATATATATATATATATATATATATATATATATAGGTTCATTTGATACTACCGTATTTTGTGAGACGGGAAGATAAAATCGTACTCACTCCTTTTGTAGATAAAAAAAAACATTTTTAAAATGCAAAATAATTGAAATTTTTCGGAAAAAAAAATTAATATTAATTTCGTCATTTTTTATCCAAAAAAATAAAAAAATATATTTGTGAAATATTCTAGTAGAATATTAAAATATTTTACTTGTCTGACAAATCTAGTAGAATTCTAAAATATTCTAATATTTTAAAAATCACATTAGAATATTTACAGTGTCATATTCTATTACAATATTTCACTTTTTTTTGAAAGGTAATTTTTATTCTTTAGGCAATTAAAATGACGAAAATAATAATTAAAAAAAAAATCAGAGTTTTCCTTTTATTTTGTATTTTAAATTTATGTTTAGATTACATCTTACGATTCCACAAAATTAACATGGTCTCAAATAAACATATATATATATATATATATATATATATATATATATATATATATATATATATAAATGGTTAGGTTATTGTATTTTAACTATCTGTTGTGTGCATATAGGATTGATTCTGCATCAATATAATTATTTTAAAATGTAATTAATGCATATTACATGTTGAAGATATAATGAGTATTAAATAAATCTTCAGCATTTAATATACACACAATATATAGTAGAAACATTTGAATATATATATATATATATATATATATATATATATATATATATATATATATATATATATATGTTAATGTGATACTGCCATATTTTGTGAGATGGGAAGACAAAATCGTAGTCACTTATTTTGTAGATAAAAAAAAAAACATTTTTAAAATGCAAAATAATTGAAAATTTTCGAAAAAAAAAATTAATATTAATTTCGTCATTTTTTATCCAAAAAAAATAAAAAAAATATATATTTGTGAAATATTCTAGTAGAATATTAAAATATTTTACTTGTCTGACAAATCTAGTAGAATTCTAGAATATTCTAGCATTTTAAAAATCACATTAGAATATTTACAGTATCATATTTTATTACAATATTTCACTTTTTTTTAAAGGTAATTTTTATTTTTTAGGTAAATAAAATGATGAAAATAATAATTAAAAAAAATCAGAGTTTTCCTTTTATTTTGTATTTTAAATTTATGTTTAGATTACATCTTACGATTCCACAAAATTAACATGGTCTCAAATAAACCTATATATATATATATATATATATATATATATATATATATATATATATATATATTGTTAGGTTATTGTATTCTAACTATCTGTTGTGTGCATGTAGGATTGATTCTGCATCAATCATTTTAATTATTTTAAAATATAATTAATGCATATTACATGTTGAAGATATAATGAGTATTAAATAAATTTTCAACATTTAATATACACACAATATATAGTAGAAACATTTGAATATATATATATATATATATATATATATATATATATATATATATATATATATATATATATATATCACATAATTTTTTATAGTTATCTCACTTTATGTTTTTTCTATTGTTATATTTTAAAATTTTGTAACTAAAAATGTGTTTACCATATTCATGATGTATCTTTCGTTTGAAAACCATGTTTTAAAAATACGTGTCAAATTTTGTCATCTGATAGATATTCGTCATATTGGATTTTCACTAGTCTCCATCTAACTCACTACTCATTAGTCCCTACTAGACCGACATTACTATGGCTTAACGAGTTTTGCAATATTGTTGTTAGATAAAAGAAATGTCCCCTTAAGCATAAAAAAGTTCCATTTATGCCCCTCAACTACGGACTCGGCTAAAGAAGCAAACCTTATGGACTTGGCTAATGAAGCAAGGTATTTTGAGTGAAATTCAATTCGTTTGACATCATTGAGAATCTCATTAATTCGTTCCTCATGCACATAGGGTGAAGAATATCCTGCCAAAAAATACAAATTTATGGGCACATATAACAACATATTTGTAATTTATTCGAACAAAAGAATACAACTCTCACCATTTTCAGTAATAAACATAGGTTTATTATTGTACCGAATCTTTATATGGTTAACAATCTCCGCCATGCCTTTAGGAACAACAAATATCCCTTCTACACCTATCTATTTATGCAACAAAATAGACACCATAATTATTAACTAAAAGGAATAATAGGGTTGCATAAAATTAAGCCAAAAATCGTGTTTTCCTACAGGTTCACCAATCAATATGCCATCACGCTCTCCAACAATGTCCACAAAACCCCGGATTGCACGATTTGCAAATGGAGTGCAACTAGCGTTGATACAATCCTTAGCATATATAGTGGAGTAATGGTTGATGCCAATAAAATCAATACTATTCTTCATAAACTTCTTTTCCTCAAGGGAGAAACTTGGTAATTCACTTCCAAGGTATTTGTGCATTTCTTCGGGGTAGTCTCCATATATTGAAGGATCAAGTGTCCTGTTTAACCATTAGAAGTTGAATCTTTTTTTTTTTTTTTTGTCACCAATATATTTTTAAGAACATTACCAGCCAACATTGAAAGCAAACACCCTTTTGGCAGCTTCATGATCGAGCTCACTATCTGTTAGTGGTTTGTACATGTAACAGTGCACAACGAGGCCTATCGATCCACCTTGTTTAGGCTGCAATAAAAATCCAAGAGGTGAAGTTGACAATTAAGGTCAAACGAACAAATGTCATTTCCTTAAAGATCCACATGAATGTTGGATAACTTCATGCAATCATTTAAACATTAAAGGAGAATTACAAATTTGCCATTACACTATCATCATTTTACCTAACAAAGTATTATGATTTTTTTTTTCCATAAAAGAGAATGATCTAAAACAAATTGTCCATTCCGACATATATTAACCTACAAAAACCGGTAACCGTGTTTGATTTGATTACATGGAAAGATTTTAAATGGGTTGCCATTTTAAATGGGGACCCTTTTAAATATGTTGCAAGGAAAATAAATGTCCATGTAAAGGTGTTGAAGTGTCAGAAAAATGTCCATCGGTTTAGCACATACTTTATCTAGATATTTCTTATGTCACATTCACATTATATGTAAGCTCATTAAAGATTGCTATATAAGCAAATTAAACTTGGTAACCACTTTTTGTAATTCAATAATGGTTGAAATGGTTAAAAAAAACAACTTTTTAGGTAAAACATTGATAATGTAATGATTTTTTATGTAATGTCACAAAGTCTTAAAATTAGTTCGATTACCTTGAAAGTTTCATGATATAGCTTGGCTACCTTTCCATGAGCTAACAACATATTATGCATGGCAATAAGAGGTTCCACATCAGAATTTCCAACATTGCAATTTCCAAAAGGCTTTGAACAACGAGAAGGTGGAAATAACCCGAATTCATAAGACAATTCTATGAACACATTAGGTTCGTTAATCGTGATCCAATACTTCACTCGATCTCCAAAAAACTTGAAACAAATTTCTGCCAAATGTACAAAGTCTTTCCTGACACCATAATGCATCCAATAAGCAAAATGAAAATTTATGTAAAGATGAAAATGACATTAATTTTTAGTCATACTGCATTTCGGGGTTTAGCCAAGACCCGGACCCGTATATCTCTTCAAATTCATGTGGATAATCGTTATGGAAAAGTGTCACAAATGGCTCGATTCCTGTATGATTTTAATCAAGCTTTAATCTTTTTACAACTAAAATCACAAGTCATTGATTTTAATCAAGTTTTAATCTTTTTACACCTTTGAGGATCAGGTTATCTATAATCTTGTTGTAGAACATGATTCCTACAGGATTAACTTCACCGAATCTTCCTCTTGGAAGAATTCTAGCCCATGAAATCGAAAATTTGTATGCTTTTAGACCAAGGGAATGCATCATCTCTATGTCTTTCTGTATTCAAAAAATTCAAACAAAAAAAGTTGGAAGTATAGAAACTGTTTTTTGTTTTTGATACGAAAAGTCAATTGAAGCTGGAAATATACCAAGAACAGATGATAATGATCATCTGCAATATCTCCATTCTCTGAATTTTCTCCACAGCCTAATAAAAACGAGGATGGATAATCAATAATGGATTCATCACTACAAATTCAATAATGAATTCATCATATAAACAATAGAAATCAGGGATTCTATGGTGTTAACCTATAGAATGACAATATACATCCCAGTTGCTTAAGGACTTAGCATCTTCGAGATAAGCTCCTTCAACCTAAAAACAATTCATGAATTAAATGTGGGTATGATAATGAGCAAGAAAGGGGTAGAATGAGGAGATTATCGACTTGGTAAGCAGAAGTGGCAACTCCAAAAAGAAACCCGGGTGGGAAATCGGATCTTTTGATGTGGGGTTCTTCTTTTTCTTCGGATATGAATTCTCCATCGCCATTGTTAAAGGCTTCAAACAGTGGAGCAGAAACAGAAAAGAGAAAGAAGAAGCAGAGAAGAATAGTGGGTGATTTCATTTTCATACCAAAACAAGGGAATCTTTTGACATATTACTATTCTACCAAAAAAGAAACTCCGTATTATTGTTTATCAAAATAGAAAGGTTCACTTGCTTTTTTGTTTCTACAAAGATCGCACTAACTAAAGTTTTTCTAAAAGGAAATATACTCATCCAATAAGAACATGCCATATGGAATCCTAAGAATTACATTTATCTATTTTGTTGATAATACTGAAATGATACTTGAATAAGAAAGTTCAGCAAACTTTATTGTCGTTCAATGATTTGGGAATTGGTTGGATTCCGATTAACATAATATTACATAGACCTTAATCTTGCTTGTTCATTCGAACAACATAATTTCACAATTGTTTGAAGCTTTCTTTGAGTTCATTTGGGGAAGCATTAACTCTTCATTTGAATTTTGAGTTGATGTAATTTAAGGTTTTGATTTTGTGTTGTGATGAGTTCGAGGGTATCGTTGACTTTGTGTTGTGATTAGAAAATGTATTTCCAAAAAAAAAATTAATTAGTCAATTTACAAAATTAGTAATTATTTTTATAATTCGTCAAAGTATATCAATTTATTATGTCAAAAAATGAAATAACAGTCGGTTTTTTTTTTTTTTTTGAATATCAATATCCTCAAAGTAACAAACGTTAAATGAAAAAACGGGCTTAATCAAAACCCTTTTTTTCAACAAAAATCCCCTCTTCTCTTTTCCTCTCGCACAAAACCCTTCCCACCAACTCCATCGCCGGAAAACGACGCCCCCCTCCTCTCTCTTCATCACCGGAAACGGCGACATAAAAACCATCCTTCTGAATTAGTGCCTTTCGCTAATCGACAATACGGCATCATACTTGTTCGCTTGGTGAATTAATATCAGAAGACTCATTCATCTATCATCTCTCCCGGCTTCATAGGTATCATTCTGAGTTCTCCCAATCTCCATCTCCCCTTCCTATTCTCTGCTTCTTGTTCTCTTGCAAAGTATTCTCAATATGATTCTTGAATCCATTAGGAGATAAGGTTTGATGAAAGCATCCGATTTCTAATTTAATTCTGTTTTGTTTCCTGTTTTTGTTTGTTTCTCGTTATTGGTTCTGATCAAAAGTTTCAAGTTAGTAGATAAAGTCTCAAAAGGTTTGATCTTTGTTCTGAATCGATTAGGAGATAAAGTCATTCTTTAAGTCGATTAGGTATTAAGTCGATTCTCAGAGGTTTCATCTTAGCTCTGAATTAAACAGCCCTCATAAATAGCTGTACTATATATATAGTCTAGGATTGCCAATAGAAATTATAGCATTTGGTTTAGGGAAATACATGGTTGTATTAAGAGAAAACCATTTTAATTTATAGAATTCAGCTTCCATATAGTTTTGTGAAATCGTAATATATTTATGCAGATTTTCAAGTGTATGGCAACCTCTCATGAAGAAGAATATGTGCTGCTTGACTTGGATTCAATTTCTGGGCAACTTCACATTCCACCTAATGCTCCCTATGTTCTCTCTGTACGTATTTAGCCTACAAAATTTACACTTTCAATATTATAAAAACCCTACTTTTTTTTAAAAAAAAATAACCCATTTTGTTGAAAATGCAGGGCCTGGATACATTGAACCCGATCCTAATTATTGATGACAAAATAAAGCTGGTATCAAGTTGTTATTTTTTATTTTTTATTTTTTAAAAATTGCATTAAGTTTTAAAAAAACAAGTTTTGTGATTTTTAATTACATGTTGTGGGCTTTTGGATTTTGCAGATTGGCGAATACGAGGAAACTATTGGAACATGTCTTGTTTTCAGTGAACACGGTAATTTCAAGCTTTTAAGATAAAAATAAAAAATTAAATAAAAATAAAAATATTGATAAAGTTTGTATTGTAGATGCTTCGCCTGTGGTTCATGAAGAAACGGGATCATCTGAAGTAAATCTTTTTTCAGGAAAATGTATAATTAATCCGAATGAGGTTACAAGAAAGCAAGTCAAACCTGTTTGTCAACTTCAAAAGGTGCTTAGGTTCAAGTTGTTACAAGATGATCAAACCAACAATGTTGTTGATGTTCCAACAATCGAACATAGTACCATGAAGAACGACTAGTTTTTTTTTTGTTGTTGTATGTTTACAGTTGTTAAAGTTTTTAAAATGACCTTTTTGCCCATACCTTTTCATCTTTTTCCATTTTGCCCTTTATTTTAATTTTAGTGCTATAAAACGTCGACTTGTAGCATAATAAATACTTAGATATGATGTCAAGTATAAAACAGAAATCACTATGTTTGTTACAAAACAAAAGCAAGTGAAAATGGATGTTATGGGTTTGGAGGGAAAAAAACATGGAAAAGGTTAAATAAGAGGTAACCAAAACAAGTGAACATGTGATGTTACAAAAGAAAAGAAGTGGACATGTGATATTAGTTTTCTTTTTGCATCCCACACCAAATGTTAACAATTAAAAAAAATACAAATTAAATGTTATAATAAGAAAACTAATTTTATATTATATAAACAATAATAATTTTTTAGCCAAATCACTTTTTCATCGCTAACTTTACCATCATCATGGTTAAAAGGAAAATCGGCATGGTGTCGATGAGTCATTATCAAAACAAAATTTTAATTTTTACAACTCTAATCTTATATATTTTGTAGTTTTTTTATTATAAGGTATAACAATTATAATAAGTAAAAGAAAATAATTATCGGAAAGGAAAATAGGTATTTTATATCAACCAGGGACCAAAATTACAAAGAATAAAACTATAAGATCTCAACGTATCAACTTATTAAAAGTTGGACTAAAACTACATACTAAACAATATGACCATTCTCTATCATTGTGAGATTTCACGTTGATATTTAATGAATTTAAAGTTTAATAGTCATTGAACTCTTTAATAGAAAAATAAAAAGTTTTTAATTCTTAAATATTGATTATAAATTACATTTTGTAATATTCTATTGAACTTTGTAAAGTTCAATACATTTTAGGAAAAAATGATAAAGTTGTATGGATTGTGGAAAGATGATATGGGAGTTCAATGCATTATGGATACCCTTAGTCTAATTATACTACGTATTATATTAGATTGTATTCTATTATACTGCAATATTATAAAAATCTTTAATTTGTAAGTTTTTGTTGATTTTACCTAAAGTTGTATTTTAGGTTCGTTAGTACCGAAAATTTGCAACTTTTTTTTTTCAATTTTACCCTTTTTATATTTTTATCCAGTAAAAATGAAATTTCTACCAAACTTAAGGGTTTTTTTGAAAAAAAATATATATAATCAAATATTTTTGCCAAAAGTAAGGGCTTTGAAATGGTAAAATTGAAAAAAATATATATATATAAATTTGAAGCAATAATGGACTAAAATACAACTTTGTCTAAAAGGACAAAAACTTACAATATTAATGGTTTTATGTCTTTATCCCTATATTATATTATATTAATATATAGTTTATGATGAGTTATTAAACCACTCAAGAAACTGTATCCTCCTTATTCAATCATAGTCCTTTTTAATGGACCCACCTCGACACCCCCCTAATCTTGAAGGTTATGTTTAGAAATCAATACGTTTTATTTTGCTAATTAGAGTTTTCGTTTTCTTGAAACAAAAACTTCTCGAAGGAATTCAAATCATAAGCAATTGAGACGAATGATTTTCATGATTATGATAATGTCAAGGTTTTATTTAGAATGGTCCATTTCATAAATATTCCTCTTACCTTCTCCACATCGAAATTTTTTATCCATCTTTGATTCCAGTCAAAAGTCCTCTCATCTTTCCCTTACTCACACATATCTCTTCTTCTTCATCTTTTTAACCTTATACCTAATTCTTTTCCATCTTAAACTCTTTAGGTCTTCTCCAAATGCAAATGCATTAGTCGAAAGGAAATAAGGAGAAAATGTAAGAGAGTCGCATTAGAAAGAGTGTGTTTTCATTTCTCCATTACAATTGTACACGAAAAGAACCGAAAATATTTCAGAACTTCCATTTCATAGGAAAAACCAATTGTGTTTCATGCTTTGAGTTTTCTACATACCCTTTTCGTGAATAAGTTAGGGGATTTGTATGATTGCTTATGTATGAGTTTTGTTATTGTTACAAGATTATTATTCTTCAAGATAGATTGACGCTTTCTCTCTATCAACTCCCATTTATTTTGTTAAAGTAGGCTTTAAATGACCGAATCATTGTGTCATTTTTATCATTTATGTAACTATTCTTATGTCGATTTTTTTGTACAAAAATCAAGTGGGACCAACTAATTATGTCAAATTTGAGTAATTATTAATTTGTCACGTGATGAAAAATCCCCTATCCCCTATCTTATATGCCAAACATGCATACAATACGACCATTCATTTTATACCTGCAACTGCAACCACTGCCATGGAATCCACCACCACCGAATCCAAAGCGCCATGGCCGGAAGTCCTCGGAAGCAACAACTGGGAAGGTCTTCTCGACCCATTCGACATCACTCTCCGGTTACTCATCCTCCGATGCGGCGACTTCTGTCAAGCCACCTACGACGCCTTCAACAACGACAAGAACTCAAAGTACGCCGGCAGCAGTCGCTATGGCAAGAAATCCTTCTTCGAGAAAGTTATGCTCCGACCATCTCCTACCGACTACCAAATCGCCGCCTTCCTCTACGCCACTGCCAAAGTCTCCATCCCTGAAGCCATCTTCGTTCACTCCCTGTCTCGCGAGTCATGGGATCGAGAGTCAAATTGGATCGGATACATCGCGACGACCACCGATGAGGTGAGTCGAACACTCGGCCGGCGTGAGATCTACATCGTGTGGCGAGGCACAAGTCGGGATTTCGAGTGGCTTAATGTTTTTGGCGCGAAAAGCGAGTCTGCTGAACCTCTGTTACGCCAGAAAACATTTGGTGCTACTCCGACGACGGCAGATTCAGGCGAGACTAGCAGCAGCAGCAGCGATAGTGACAACGATGAAATTCCGAGGGTAATGCAGGGTTGGCTAACGATTTACACCTCAGATGATCCGAATTCGTCTTTCACAAAAGAAAGCGTGAGAACACAAGTGTTGACAACTATCAAACACTTGGTGGGCATCTACAAAAACGAAGAAACTAGCATCATTATCACCGGACACTCCCTGGGTGCAAGTTTATCGATCTTATCCGCCTTCGATCTAGCAGAAAACGGAATCACAGACGTCCCAATTGCCGCCTTCGTCTTCGGTTCTCCACAAGTCGGCAACCAAGCATTCAACGATCGTCTAAACCAATTCTCAAATGTCAAAATCCTTCACATTAAAAACAAGATCGATCTCATTCCGCTATACCCAAGTGGGTTACTCGGGTACGTGAACACCGGTGTAGATTTCGTGATCGATACACGAAAGTCTTCGAGCTTGAAGGAGTCGACGAACACTGGAGACTGGCATAATTTGCAGGGGATGTTGCACGTTGTAGCTGGGTGGAATGGGGAGGATGGTGAGTTTGAATTGAAGGTGAATCGGAGCTTGTCTTTGGTGAATAAATCGAGTGAGTTTTTGAAAGATGAGTTTCTGGTTCCGGGGTCATGGTGGATTGAGAAGAATAAAGGTATGATTCTGGATGGAAATGGAGATTGGGTTTTGGAACCACCTGATGAAGAAGATATTCCGGTTCCGAGTGGACCGGTTGAGGAGATGGTAACGGCGACGTCGGGTGACGGCGAGGAGAAGGTAACGCCGGCGGCTTCGGGTAACAACAAGCGGTGTTGGATTTTGTAATAGTAATCGTTGTATGATAATTGAAAAGAAAGACTGTTGTTATCCACGTGTAATTTGTCAGCATTCTTTATTGAAATTTTTCACTGCAATTTACTACTGGATTGGTGGTGGTTAAGATAGGATGAAGATTTTTTTTTTTTTTAGATCCATGTTAAAAAAATTTTGAAATTCTAAACGTTTGAAAAAATTAAGTTTATAAGAAAAATAAAAATATATATATTAAATTATTAAAATTAAAGTGTATTTTTTTTTCTCTTTTAAATTTAAACAAATAATTTAGATAAATAAATCAAGAAAACTAATGATGTTTTAATTTAATAATTTTGAAATTAAAAAAAAAAAAAAAAAAGTTAATTGATGAATTTTTTTTTTATTTTAACGCCGAGTTTCAAATTATAAGTAAGTCATTATGTTACTATAAAATTTCGATTTTAACGTCGAGTTTCAAATTATAATAAAATCATTATATTACCATAAAATTTCGATTTTGATACCGAGTTTTTTTTTTTCACTTATATCATTACATTTACAATTTTGTTGCAATTTCAACCAATTGATCGATTCATGAGATGTTATTATAGTTTAGAAGCTCGATATTTACAAAAAATAAATGAAGGTTGGTTAAATGGTTCAAACTCACTTACAAGTCAGCGAAAAGTGCATAGTCACCCTTTCAGGAGATGTTATTGTGGTTTAGAAGCTCGATTTGTACAACAAATAAATGAAGACCCCTACAAGGTCAATTTACTGGTTCAAACTTACTAAGCATCTCCTGAATTGGCCTTATAGAGGTCTTCATTTACTTGTTGTACAAATCGATCTTTTACATAAATGACATGATAATATAGTGATGTGGCAGCCAAAATTGTTGCAATGTCAACCAATTGACCGATTAGCATCAATCTAGCAGCTTATCAAATAAATGACATGAGAATATTATGACGTGGAAGTCACGTTAGATCTTATGTGATAGAATTGAGTTTCAAAAATAGGGTTTGCATCGAACCCAGTTTCACGTATCTTTGTAGGTCGATCCAAAGTTCAAACTCACTTAAAAGTCAACGAAAATAGCATAATCACCCTTTTAGGTTGCAGTTTTTATTATAATGTTTAATGTTTAATTCTCATCAGAGTATTTCTTCACAAATGGGGTCTGAAGGTCAATCTAGTGGTTCAAACTCACTTAAAAGTTGGTGAAAAGGGTATACTCACCCTTTCAAGAGATGTTATTGTGGTTTAGCAGCTCGAATTTTACAACAATTAATGAGAACCCCTACAAGGTCGATCGACGAGATGCTTAGTTAGTTTGAACCACTGAATCAATTTTGTAGGGGTCTTCATTTATTTGTTGTATAAATTGAACTTCTAAACCACAATAACATCTTTTGAAATGGTCACTATGTCATTTTCGTTTACTTGTAAATGAGTTTGAACCATTAAACCGGTCTTTTTTTATTTGTTGTACAAATCGAGCTTCTAGACCACATTAACATCTCCAAAATCAGT